TAGTGCAGCCCTAACTGAATATAATAAAGAAATTAGGAAAGCCAAGAGAGCATCGTGGAGGAAGCTATGCGAGGAAGTTGAGTCTTTGCCTCGCAGTGCAAGACTACACAAGATGCTATCGAAAGCTAAACCTAATCAGATCGGGCTTCTTAAAAAGCCGGATGGTAACTTCACTAATAGTGAAACAGAAACATTGGAGTTACTAGTGTCAACCCATTTCCCAGGGTCATACAAAACTTCAGCCTTGAACTCTTTTAGAGCCCTACAAAGGCCTTGCAATGAGGACTGGCGTAGGGCTGCAAAGATAATAAGGCCAAACCTGGTGCAGTGGGCTGTTGACTCCTTTGAATCATTCAAATCAAGCGGGGAGGATGGAATAATTCCTATCCAACTACAGAGGGGTATCGACATCCTTCTTCCTTATCTGGTGAAAATCTTCAGAACAAGTTTTGCATGGGGATATATTCCAGAACGATGGACAAATGTCAAGGTTCTATTTATACCTAAGGCTGGTAGAAAGGACTACGCTTTACCAAAGTCCTTTAGACCTATAAGCCTATCTTCCTTTCTTCTTAAGACATTGGAAAAGGTTATAGATAGATATATAAGGGATGTAGCTCTAGCTACGAGGCCCATACATTACAACCAGCATGCTTACTGCAGAGGCAAATCTACGGATACAGCCATGATCAGTGTCATTGACAGGGTCGAAAAGCACTGGAGGATAAAGAAATAGCTCTTTGTGCCTTTCTAGATATTGAGGGCGCCTTCGACAGTAGCCCCACATCACTGCTGATTGGGGGCCTAACATCTAAAAATGTTGACCCCACAACCATCAGATGGGTGAAGTCGATGCTCTCAAACAGAAAGGCCAAAATAGCGCTGTTTCAAACCTCGATTGAGGTTGCAACCACAAGAGGCTGCCAAGGAGGTGTTTTGTCACCCCTTCTTTGGCCTCTTGCGGTTGACCAACTATTGTACAAAATGGCAGACCTACGCATTGACACATTGGGTTATGCTGATGACCTTGTGATCATTGCGAGGGGCTTTTGTCAAAGTACTTTATCGTCAATAATACAAAGAGCCCTAAACACCATAAATAACTGGTGTAGGGATAACAGTTTATCAGTTAATGCTGATAAAACTGTTATAATACCCTTTACCAAAAAGAGACGGTTGGACAAATTAGTCCAACCAAAACTTAATGGCAAAGAAGTACCATTTTCCACGGAAGTTAAGTACTTGGGCGTAACAATCGACCAAAAACTAACGTGGAATTCTCGCCTTAGCAACGTATGCCATAAGGCAAAAATTGCTTTAGGTACGTGCAGTCGTTTGGTCGGGAACAACTGGGGCTTGCGTCCCAGTATGGTCCTATGGCTGTACAGCAGCATAGTGAGGCCGATTCTCACCTACGCCTCTATCGTCTGGTGTAACAAGGCCAACCAAAAGACGACTGCGGACAGACTAAATAGTCTACAAAGGACTGCCTGCCTAATGGCAACTGGAGCTATGAGATCATCGCCTGGAGCGGCTCTTAATGCACTTCTATGCTTAACGCCCCTAGATCTCTATCTAGACAAGGAGGCGAGGGCTAGTTTGTATAGGATTAACACCCAGGGCTGTCTGAGCTTGCTCTCCTATAGATTGAGATCCATGCTCCACTCAATTAAGGAATCACCGGTCTTATGCATGATCTCAGATATCATGCGTCCACTATACACTTTTGTTAAAAAGTATTACCCTCCAGAGAAGACTGGCTGAATGGCCAGGTTATCTGTGAGGTCGGTAGCCTCATATGGTATACCGATGGGTCTAAAATGGGCCTCGACGTAGGCTTTGGAATTTACGGGGAATGCCCCAAATTCAAATTTAGTATGAATTTGGGTAGATACACCTCTATCTTCCAGGCAGAAATTTTCGCCATACTACGGTGTGCGGAAATCAATCTGCAAAAACACTACGTCAACCATAAAATTTACATAAACTCTGATAGTCAAGCAGCACTGCTATATGCAGTATATATATATATATATATGCATATATATGCATATATATATATATATATATATATATATATATATATATATATATATATATATATATATATATATATATATATATATATACTCTCCCTGTCGAGTGAGCCTGACGGAATCCCCCTAATTGTGCTGAGGACGTGTGCTCCAAAGTTGGCACCGGTTTTAACACGTCTTTTCTGGTACTCCTATTCCCTAGGCGTAGTTCCAAAATCATGGAAGACGGCTTTCGTCCACCCGATCCCTAAAAAAGGCGACCGCTCAGACCCGTCCAACTACCGGCCTATCGACATCACCTCCTTGTTCTCCAAACTAATGGAGTCTATTGTAAACTGCCAGCTCATGAGGTACCTTGAGGAACACCAGCTGATAAGTGACCGCCAATACGGTTTTCGCCGTGGTCGGTCAGATGGTGATCTTCTGGTCTACCTAACTCATAGATGGGCGGAGGCAGTAGAGTCCAAGGAGGAGGCATTGGCCGTTTGTTTGGACATTGCGAAGGCCTTCGATCGGGTTTGGTACAAGTGCTTGTACTTCCCGAGAAATTGTGCGATTGGATCACCAGCTTTCTTGCAGATCGGAGCATCAAGGTCGTTGCAGACGGTGCAAGCTCCGATCGCAAGCCTCTTAATGCTGGTGTTCCACAAGGCTGCGTGCTATCGCCAACGCTGTTTCTTCTGCATATCAATGATATGTTGCAAACCCGTAACATTCATTGCTATGCAGATGACAGCACTGGTGATGCTCTTTACACCGGCCGAGCCAATATTTCTCGGGAAAACGTCTCCGAGTGCCGGGACAAACTTGTGTTTGAAGTCGAGTCTTTGCTGAACAGAGTCTCGGATTGGGGGCGACTAAATCTAGTCCGCCGCTAACCGCTAAAAAGAACCCCTTTGTCGTATCTCCTCAGTTTCAAAGCACTCCCCTTGTTGCCTCTGCCAGTATCGGAATCCTCGGCGTTGACATATCGAGTGACGTGCAGTTTCGTGGTCACTTGGAAGAGAAGGCCAAATTGGCCTCTAAGAAGCTTGGCGTGCTCAGCAGAGCGGGACAGTATTTCATGCCGGCACACCGCCTGCGACTTTACAAGGCGCAGGTTCGGCCGCACATGGAATACTGTTCCCATCTTTGGTCTGGGGCTCCCCAGTACCAGCTCCTTCCACTTGACCGCATCCAGCGCAGAGCGGCTCGAATCGTCGACGACCGAGTGCTTTCCGATCGGCTCGATTCACTGGCACTGCGAAGAGATGTTGCATCTCTTTGCATTTTATTTCGCATATACCATGGAGAGTGCTGTGAGGAATTGTTCGGATTAATCCCAGCCGCCAAATTTCGTGAACGCACTACGCGGCAAACGTCCCGATACCATCCACACCATCTGGATGCTTGGCGGTCCACCACAGTACGTTTCAAAAGGAGTTTTCTTCCGCGTACAACCTCTTTGTGGAATAGTTTACCACCGGCGATTTTTCCGGACCGATACGACCTGGGGACCTTCAAGAAAGAGCCTACTCCTTTCTAAAGGGCCGGCAACGCACCTGCAATTCCCCTGGTGTTGCGATTGATAATGGGCGGCGGTAGTCACTTAACATCAGGTGAGCCGCATGCTCGTTTGCCCCTCTTCCATAAAAAAAAATACAAGCCTACTTCTCAACAAGATCTGCTTTCTTTCCAGTTATCTTCGCTCCTCGTTTTTTTAGTTCGTCTTTCAATTCTTTAAGATTCCAGGTACATCTTAAAATTATCGATGGTTAACTAGTTTCAATATAAAGAAAAGCAAAATCTCTATGTAAAGTAATCTACAACAATTTGACAGCAGCCATGGCGCCGCTGGTGCCCTCTACGAATAGCTTTGCATGTGGATCCCCATTGCTGTCAACCTTTGAGCATAGAAAATAGTTACTATTTTCTATGCTCAAAGCTGTCAACTGCCAAACTGTCAATGTTCTATTTGATAGATTTGGCCTACTGTGCCCTGTGTTGGGAAATAAAATCCAGTATATTGGCCTATGCAAATGACGTCATAAATCGACGCCATATTTTTTTTAACTATGTGCGAGCAGCTATGCAGGTCTAGGTAAAGAGACCAGTATCACTGCGACCTAGAAGATCTTTTGTGATCGCTGCTATGGCTATAGTTCACTGCTAAGCCCTATGTCTTCAATGAATTGAAGGAGTTGCTTAGCCGTGAGCAATTTCACTTCTTCTGAGCGGAGTAGATAGTGTCCCAGATGAGTGTTACGTTTGCGCATTAAGGGTCCGCAATCGGTTAGGATGTGTAGAGGTGTTTCTTCCGTTATGGAACAGAACCGACACATCCTTGAGTTGCTTAGTCCCAGGATGGACATGTGCATTTTAAGACAACAGTGTCCAGTTAGGGCTCTTGCCAGAATGCGCAATTTATTTTTACTTAATCCCAGGGCTTCTGAAGCGAATTTACGATCAAAAGCCCGGATTAATGTTTTAGAATGTTTTAAGCCTGGTGTGTCAGACCAGATCTTAAGTGATTTATTGTGATAAAGAGTTTCAAGGGTCCATCGGGCTAGGCTTCTTGAGATTCCACAAAATGGTTTGGGTCCAAATTGTGTGCACTTTGAGCCCTCCCTTGCGAGTTTGTCGGCAAATTCGTTGCCTACAATGCCCTCGTGACCCGGAACCCATCTTAAAACGACCCTGTTGTTACAACCCAGGGCGTTTAAATGATTCACGCAGTCTCCAACTAGCTTTGAGTTCACTAAGTTTGATCTCAGCGCTAGCAGTGCTGCTTGACTATCAGAGTTTATGTATATATATATATATATATATATACTAAATTTTATATATCTATTATATCTATTAAAATTATAAAACTGTACACTTATATACATGTTAAAGATTTGGAGCTAGTTTTGATTGGAACGTGTTAATTATTTCTTGATTAATGTTAGGAAAATTTATGAATAATCAAAGAACATTACTCTAATGATAAATGGTATTTTTTCTCTTAGGTTAGAATCATATGACCGAAATTTTAATTTCGGCAATCAAAGCCCTCTAGCTTCTCAAAGTCAAGCAATTGATGTTCCTGCTGTTGAACTTTACCAGGATGTTAATAGCTCCACGATATTGCCAAAGATTACCAAAAAACATATTCAAAGTTATTTTGATAGGTAGGTAATAATTGTTTCTAACGTTTTATGTAAATATTAAAGATTATTTGTCCACTAAGTTTATTAAATTGTGGTTATATACTTTCTCTTGATATTTAACATAATACTTTTATTTCAGATTCAATAGAAATATCAGTGATGCTGTAAAGTTGTATGAATCGAGATACCTTCTTATTTTACGATCAACATTTGCCGAAGATACATACTGAAAAGGTAGGTTCACCAGATAATAAAGATTGATGTATCAAAAATAAATAGATGGCTAGGCTAAAATTGATGTGTAATATATTTGTCTTTTAAATATGAACATATAAATACTTCTTCCAGGTTTTTGCAAGGCATCTATGAAACAACTACAATATGAGGTAAACATCAAATTAAATAATGATGGAATGCCTGAAGAAGCAACATGTGAATGTGCACAAGGAGAAGGCAAAGAAGCCCATTGTAAACATGTAGCTGTGGTACTTCTTGCTGCTGAAAATATTGTTAAGGAAAAAATAATACTGCTACATGAAATTTCGACATCACAACTTCAAACGTTTCATAAGCCAACAAAAAAAATATTATGCCACACCATTGCGAGCCTCCAGATTGCCATCCAAAAGGGATATACATAACATTGTTTACTCTCCATATTTAAAACAAAACCCTTATTTTGATAAAAAGGCATTCCAATGCAGGTTTCAGTCCCTGATTTTAAATTATCCACACTCATCGATGCCCTTAAAACAATTATTTCCAGCAGCTAACCAACGAGCAATATGTTTAGATCATAAATATATGGAAAAAGTGCACAGGATATTTTTTTAGAATCCATTCATTTACTAAATTTAACTGAAGAAAGATTAGTGGAAATCGAAATGGAGACTAGAGGACAAAGTTCCAATCCAAAGTGGCATGAGTATCGACAAACCCGCATTACATCAAGTATATTTCACACTGTGTGCCATTTGAAAAGTGAAACTTTAGTAAAATATTGTGACCAAATATTAAATAAAAATCTAGTACAAACAAGAGCGATGGCACATGGGATGATTAATGAAAAAGTAGCCATTGAAAAATATATGGAGATTTATGGGGTGGTTGTTGAAGAGTGTGGATTGTTTTTGTCTCAGGAACGACCTTATCTAGGCGCATCTCCAGATGGCTTACTAGGATTAGAAACAATAATTGAAGTAAAATGTCTTTATGCTTCCAGAAACCAAGAAATCAGTCCTCTTACAGTACCTTACCTACAAATTGATGACAATGGACAACTTACTTTTTTTTAAAAAAAACTAATATTTATTACTGTCAAATTCAAGTGCAATTGTATGTAAGAAAAAGAAGATTTTGTAATTTATTAGTTTTTACCTATAAAAGTTTAAAAGTAATATTTATTGAATGTGATGAACAGTTCATTACGGATATGTTGAGAAAACTTGATTATTTTTATTACAACTTCTTTAAAAATGCTGTAAGTAACCAAAAAATATTTTTTTAAGGATTAAGATTTTATAATATATAGGAGTATGCTAGGGCTGAATCTGAATGACAGGGTGAGACATTGTGTGATATGAGAAAAGTTTGTTTTAAAATATGATGTTGTGACCAGGATTAAGAAAGGAATGCTTTGGTGGTTTGTTTATGTATGAACAAGGAGTGACAAAGCAAATTTATATTGCAGATGTGAACAGCAGAGTCAGTAAAGTAGATTAGCAGTACCCGTAACCAACGAGCATGTATGAGTGTATGTATATGGATGTAAAGGTGGCGAGAGAGGTGTCAGGATCGTGCCAAATGGTAGTCTGTAGTCTCTGATTACCCCTCTGGATAATGGGCTCTGGTGTTTATGTTGTTTTTTTAAGATTTTATAATAAAATATATGAAAAGTTGTAACAAAGCTTTTATTTCATGATACTTTCTCTAAAATTACAAGAAATAGCACAAACAAATAAAATTCTAGATGCTAGCGGTACATGATAAGGGCTCAATTCACTTTGGTTGCGCGGAAAACCATTCGCGTTTTTTATTTGACGGTAGGAACTTGTAGAATCATTATTCCTTTCCAAACAATATCATTCGTACCCTCCTATCGACACATCGGGGTGGTGGGGTGGGAGGGGAAAGAAGACGATTCTAGAACATCGCGTAATCACCCGAGCCGAGGATATATAAGACACGCGCGACCGATGCGCGAGCCTCTTCTCCCGCCGCAGTCGTCGTTGAACCAACTCTTCTCTCCTGACGCACCACTGGGCCCCAGAAGTGTCTGTCCAGAGGAGGTTCCGGAAGTCGCCGCTATAGTGATCGACAGGAAGAAGAAACCCCGGTGAGTCAATATTCCTTAATTATACCTGCTTGCTAATAGTTTAACCCGCTCCAATCTGTGTTTTTTATCCTAGTCAAGCAGGATTCCTTTCATCGATTCGACAAGTAATAGTTTAGTTTAGGGAAGAGCGAGTGCATTGTACCGCATGCTATAGTAGTCGCTTTTACGTAAGCGTAGAAGCAATCGCATATACAGTCCACTTTAGTTAATATCTCGCGTAATAGGTTTGAGGTTTGACCGGGGAACTAGATTTTCGGCAGCCTTAAACACGTGGCTCCACCATTTTATGGTCCTTCGAGCAGGATCTGGATTGGTGTTTAGTGGTTATCCAACCATTTTCTGGTCGAATTATTAAATTAATTGTTTAGATAACGCACTCTAATTTATAGAATAGACTTAAATAGTGTTCGTTTAAATTAAAATTTTGATTTGTTACTCGCAAACAGAATTATTCATTTAATAGCGCTCGTATTTGGTTAAATTTAAAGCTTATTAAATAATTGAAACGGCGTGATAGCAACCGTTTGATACGCTTACCCCACAATTTTTATAAAATTATTAGGTTTAGCAAACGACGCGTAGCCTTGACTGCATCGGGCGCTCGATCTGATTACGTAATACGGCACGCCGAGTATTCATCCTACGTCGTTTATGCGTGTGAGATTAATTGTGATTAATATAACTTTATTATAATAATTTAAAATGGCAGTTAGTGGAAGTGAAATCAAAATTAAAACGCTTTATGCCAAGAGGGACATACTCTTTTCGCGTGTGCAGAATATAAGTGATTATATAAAGAACATTCATATAGAGGCAGTACGGGAGGCCTTTTTTAAATGAAATCGAAACGATAGATAATTTGCGGACAGATTACGAAAGAATATTAGATCAAATTAATCATTCGGAACTACAAACCGACCCGAAATACATAGTGAACTACCAACCGCTGCTGGCATTCGAAGATATGTTGTGTCGCGTGAAGAGAACCGCAAAATTGCTACAATCTCAAGGTGAAGCGAAGCCTGAAATGCAGGTACGCCCTCGTGACTCAATTAGGTTACCGCCAATAGATATTCCGGTATTCAATGGTGATATTAAGACGTGGCCCTTCTTCTTCAGTAGTTTTCAAAACAATATACACAACAACCCATCGTTATCGGACGCTGAAAAATTATATTACTTAATTAGTAAACTTAGTGGCAGAGCACAATCGATATGCTCGGGTTTTACACCTACAGCAAACAATTACTTATTAATATTTGAAACGCTTAAAACTAAATATGAAGATAGGAGAATGTTAGCTTCCGAATATTTGAACCAGATATTCGATCTTAAACCTATATCATCCGCGAACATCAACGGCTTAGAGCAGTTTCTCGATAAATTTGTGGCATCGGTGGCTGCACTTAAGAATTTGAAGTTTAATGACCTCATGGACGTGGTGTTTCTCCATATAGCATTAAAGAAATTAGACTCCGACACCGTGCGTGCGTTTGAAATGGAGCATCGTAGCTCGGAGATGCCTTCCTTTCATTCATTAGCATCGTTCGTGCGAGATCAAATAAAGGTGATGCAGCGCTCACCGAACGTTAAACAGGAGATTAAAAGGTGCGTCGACCGTAGACAGACTCAACCATCTAAAATAGCAGGGTCGTTAACTTACGTAACCGCTACGCCGACATCACTCCAGCATACTTGTATAGTATGTAAAGATAAACACGGTAATTTATATAACTGTGCGACTTTTCGTAAATATTCACCAAGCGAACGTTATAAGTTAGTAAAAACAAACAACCTATGTTTGAACTGCTTAAGCGATAAGCATTTAGTTGCAAAATGCAATTCGAGTTCCGTATGTAGCAAGTGCGCCAGGAAACATCACACGCTATTACATTTTGAAAATAGCAACATAGCGGCGTCAAGTAAGGCGAATAAGGAATTCATCCCTACTAAGGTCAACGATTCTAGCGGTCGACCTGGTGATGTCGCTCTGTGCTCATTGGCAAATATGGGAGCACAACCTCCTTCAACCGTGTTACTGGGTACGGCGCGTATTTTGGTTAGGGATTCGCGTGGAAACAAACAAAGCGTCCGTGCACTGCTGGACAGCGGAGCCCAAAATAGCTTTATAACACGACAATGTTGTCAGCGCTTAGGCTTAGTAATAAATAGGTCACTTTCATGTCCTGTAGTTAAAGGCATCGGAGGTACTAGTAAAGCGACACAGGGATATATAAATTTAAAATTTTATTCTCGGATAGATCGTAACGTTAACTTTGATATAAATGCACTAGTAGTAGATAGGGTCACTGAACGGTTGCCAATCGTTTCGGTTGACTCCTCGGCAATGATTGAATTTAAAAATTTGACTCTAGCAGACGACACTTACGCCGTTCCTGGAAACATAGACATGCTCATTGGGGCATCGCTTTTCCCTCATCTTTTGTTAAACAATAAGGTCAGGGGCAACTCCTCGCATACCGCGCCTTACGCACTGGAAACCGTATTGGGCTATGTGATCCTTGGTTCCGCCCCCATCCTAGATAGTATTTCGGCAGCCTCTTATTGTGGTATGGCTGTCGAACCGCTCGAGTCGTTAGTCCGCAAATTTTGGGAGATGGAGGAGGTGAACGTCCCACCCATAGCTAGTTCAGATGACAGGATATGCGAGGAAATTTACGTCCGCACGACCGTTCGTGATCGCGACGGTAGATATAGTGTAGCGCTACCCTTTAAGGGAGATGTTTTATCTCTCGGCGATTCGCGTCAAATGGCGGAAAAACGTTTCTACAGCTTGGAGCGTAGGATGCTCGCTTCGCCCCAGTTAAAGGAAGCTTACGACGGCGTCATTAACGAATATATAAGAGAAGGTTACATATCACTTGTGGCTTCGAA